CCATGAGGACCTATGAAATAAAGAATAAGAAGAGGGAGAGAAGGGGGACTTATCTGAAAATCTTAATGCCCTAAGCAAACATTCAGGGTCAAGGCGCCTACACCTTGTGTACACAACATACCGTCACAAACAGTTGGCTATCGTGCAAAGATAAGGCGGCATCGGAGAGACAGCTTCCTTGCGACTTTCACTGCCACGCGTCATAATCAGCCATTACCCCGCAGATAACTCAGCACCAAACATACTTTAAACAGGCAATTCGATTAGAAGACGGCAGCAGACGCGCCACTGGTGTCGGTTGCGAGCCATGTCCTGTAAAGTCTCGAGCCAAGCACAAGGCGAGTCATCTGGACTCCAACCTGGAAGGCGAGACGGACCAACGGCACCCAGTTTGGTCGTCAGTAACTTCATTTCCCGCTGCCAAGTCAACTTCTGTCCACCTCGAGCTTTGTGCCACCCTACATTTGGCAGACTAAACAATGCCCTCCTAGGTAAGCGGTGACCAGGCACACATAGTACGTGCCCGAGCCAACGCAAATTACTCAGTGCTACCTGTTGTGCTGGGGAGCTAGCGTGATTATCACCACCTAGTACTCGCCTACGCACATCATCGTTGCGGACACGCTGGTGCCATCACACCAGCAATGCTTCGCAGACAACGATGATCAAAGACTTGAAGGCGCCTCAGATCTTCAAATCGAAGGAGCCAAGTCTCACTACCGTACAGCAGAACGGCCCTCACTGTGGCTTTGCATACACGGCATTTCAGAAGGAGGGAAATTCCCTTCTGTCGCCAAAGATCCCGCAGGTTCAAGAAGGCAGCTCTGGCCTTTGCAATGCGTTAAATGACTTCAGTTTCAATGCGCCCATCGCTGCTGATGCAGCTGCCAAGATAAATAAATTGATCAACCACCTCGAGCTCCTTGTCAGCAAGGGAAAAGGGGGTCATAAAGTGGTTGGTGGTCCTGCAGCAACACTTCGTACTTTGAAGGGGCGAAGAGCATACCAAATAATGGGACCACACTAGACAGGGTACTCAGCGTGGATTGTGCCGCCGCAACATCGTCGAAAAGCAAGACGATATCGTCCGCATAATCAAGATCAACTACATCGTGAGATTCCGCAAGTGAACACTACATGACAGAACACACGACGAAATGGAACAAAAGTGGGGAAATCGAACATATGGGATATATATATACATATATATATATATATGTATATATATATATATATATATATATATATATATGGATTCTTAGTGGTTTTTTGTGAGTAGTGTAATTTTCGTAGAAAGTAGAAGCCACGATCAAATTTTGCGCAATAATGTGCCTTGACGGGGAATCGAACCACGGACATACGGATTACCGGTCCGCTGCTCTACCACTGAGCTACGAGGAATGACGATCAGGTGCGCAATTTAATACATGACTTCTGCTTGGTTCGCATATATATATATATATATATATATATATATATATATATATATATATATGGTTGGCGGCATCCGGTTTCCGATTTGCTTGTCACTGTGGCCAGCCACAGGACGCCTGCGCCTTCAGAGGGACCATGGAAGGTTTGCGCTGCACCACCTACAGTTCCATCCACACACCCCACATCCAGTGTAAACCCGAAGGAATAAGACCGGAAGACATGTGGATGGGAGCCACGTTACATCAACGGAGCCGGTCTACACTCCTTCACAAGCACGCTGTATTTGGGGAATCAAGTGCACACAAGGCGGTGGCTGGACCGTAATCCGCTCCACACTGAGTGCATGGAACCACTCTTCGAGCCTAGCACAGCTACGATGATCGTGCCCCCCGTCCCCTCCAGCAACGACCAACTGTCCCCTGGAGCCAGTATGGACGAGGTAGTGGGTAATAGACAGATCGGCACCTTGTCAACAAGCACATCAAGCGCAGCCATACCTGAGATGTCAAACAACAGCCAAGCACTCAAAATGCCGATATCAAATAAAAGATACCGAATAAAGTAAACCTATATGACGATATAAGTACTCGCTAAATGAGCATATGGAAGAAATTGGTTATAAGCGTATTGGCGATAAGTACAAAATGTCCGAAAGTTGTTCAAAAAATACCACCTGATAGTTACGCAAGTTTACCACAATTAGCATGAGCGACGTGTGCAAGTTAGGAGAAGATTATCAGGTACGCAGAACAAACCAAATAAAGTGGAATGAATTTCATCCACATTAAAATGACCTATGTATATATATATATATATATTTATATATATATATATATATATATATATACATATATATAGCGTCAGCAGTCTAATAAATAGACACAGACACAAACAAAACTACGGAAACCTGCTGATGACAGGTAGAGTTTCTGCATCATCATGGCACATTAGTTGAAGGCGAGCAACACAGTTCAGCTATTGTGCAGCAAAAAGAAAGGAATATTTCTTTGTTGTATTTCACACGTCCCCGGGAGAACAGCTGATGCCATATGCGGACTCTTAAGCTAACCGCCCGCTTAGGAACCAATAATGATGTAAGATTTATGCATTCGTCCGTAACAACAGGATAATCTTTGAGTGCTTGATGGGGCAAAATGATGCACCATCTACACTCTATGGTGACTAGTACGTGGAAGAAGACGAATCCGAAGTGATCACCTGCTGGTGGCATTTTACAGCAGGATCGTCGAATGTACATCGGACTGCTTAATTAGGCATACTCGCACATCTTCACCTCACCTGCCGACTGTATGTCGTTCGGCAAGCAGTTTGGTAGGGTGATCCAAAAGCGAGCGGGTGATAGGGTACCAAAGCGCACACTGCAAACTTTCTGGAGCTGGTGATGCGCAGCAGCCTACAAGCGAGAATCCCCATGGAGAATGATACCCCTGACTATTACTTATGAGTAGAAGGATTTTTGTGAGTATTTTTGTTCGTCGCAGCCAGCCGACAATCCAGATAAGTCAACCAACTATTCGGAAAAGCACCAGACGGCCGTTTCTCCCTATTGGGGCTCCTCAGTGGTGCGCATCCTTCGGTCCTCTACAGAGGATCGAACCCATGACCGCTAGTAGCTTGTGCCAACTAGCCCGCAGCTTATGCAACTGCGCCATGGAGGACGGTAGCCGACCATCATGAATTGTTAGCTAACTGCGATGTAGCCCGACCCATCCTCCACTGCCATGCAGGCACCTGCCATGCAGACGACAGCGGTTGGCCTTCCGGTGTCAGGACTTCCCGGTTACGCCAGCTATGAATCGACATAGCATTTATGGAATCCGTAAGGGCGAATTTATATTACTTATGAGTAGAAGGATTTTTGTGAGTATTTTTGTTCGTCGCAGCCAGCCGACAATCCAGATAAGTCAACTAACTATCCGGAAAAGCACCAGACGGCCGTTTCGCCCTATTGGGGCTCCTCAGTGGTGCGCATCCTTCGGTCCTCTACGGAGGATCGAACCCATGACCGCTAGTAGCTTGTGCCAACTAGCCCGCAGCTTATGCAACTGCGCCATGGAGGACGGTAGCCGACCATCATGAATTGTTAGCTAACTGCGATATAGCCCGACCCATCCTCCACTGCCATGCAGATGACAGATAGTTAGTTAGTTGACTTATCTGGATTGTCGGCTGGCTGCGACGAACAAAAATACTCACAAAAATCCTTCTACTCATAAGTAATATAAATTCGCCCTTACGGATTCCATAAATGCTATGTCGATTCATAGCTGCCGTAACCGGGAAGTCCTGACACCGGAAGGCCAACCGCTGTCATCTGCATGGCAGGTGCCTGCATGGCAGTGGAGGATGGGTCGGGCTACATCGCAGTTAGCTAACAATTCATGATGGTCGGCTACCGTCCTCCATGGCGCAGTTGCATAAGCTGCGGGCTAGTTGGCACAAGCTACTAGCGGTCATGGGTTCGATCCTCCGTAGAGGACCGAAGGATGCGCACCACTGAGGAGCCCCAATAGGGCGAAACGGCCGTCTGGTGCTTTTCCGGATAGTTAGTTGACTTATCTGGATTGTCGGCTGGCTGCGACGAACAAAAATACTCACAAAAATCCTTCTACTCATAAGTAATATAAATTCGCCCTTACGGATTCCATAAATGCTATGTCGATTCATAGCTGCCGTATCCGGGAAGTCCTGACACCGGAAGGTTAACCGCTGTCATCTGCATGGCAGTGGAGGATGGGTCGGGCTATATCGCAGTTAGCTAACAATTCATGATGGTCGGCTACCGTCTTCCATGGCGCAGTTGCATAAGCTGCGGGCTAGTTGGCACAAGCTACTAGCGGTCATGGGTTCGATCCTCTGTAGAGGACCGAAGGATGCGCACCACTGAGGAGCCCCAATAGGGAGAAACGGCCGTCTGGTGCTTTTCCGGATAGTTAGTTGACTTATCTGGATTGTCGGCTGGCTGCGACGAACAAAGATACCACTGACTGTTGGACGGTAGTCAACAACTTAGTCCCTTTCATTTACCGAACATGCAGTGTGCTATCAGTTGCACCACTGTAGTAAATGCGATCATGTCGGTTGAATTTTGTGCGCTGGCCAACACCGGTTTAGCCAATGTGATTCATTTCAACGTGGCCCTAATTTGCACATTAGTGGTGGAACAAGTTACCTTCGTCGACACAACCCTGGCGACAGAAACCGTCTAAAGTGAAGCTTGAGAAACTATGCTCACTAAACTTTTGTCTCTCCTACCTGTTTCTTTTGCCTAAGTGTCAGTATACTCAATCACAACATAATTGCAGCCGACAATGTTTGTCTGGTCAGCGCGTAGGTCTATCGTGTGGTCAACCTACCAAGTGTCGACTGGATCGTCCGTGTGAACACAGGCGAGTGTGCGTGTGCAACTTTGGATAAATCTCGAAGTCGTTCGTGATTTAATCAAGATCATTCGCCAGTACAAGGAGAACGAATAAATCAACTTTTACAGCAAATTCGTTTCATACACACACCTGGATCATAAGTGCATCCAGTCCGATGCTTACCTCAAAGCTATCCTCCAGCGTGGCAAAGCCATCAGATGAATATGCATTTGTGTGCAGCATCTGCTCTATAGGTACTAAAGCTTCGGCCAGACATCGATTACCGTAACATAGTTGCACTTTTAGGGGACTGATGTGGGAGAAGTACGCCCGAAGCACATCAATCGTTGATCTGAGAGGGAAAAGGTAAGAACTGATCAGCACACTGAGACGATAAACTACGCAATGCAGCTGCATATAGAGAGAGCATGTACTAGAGAACACAAGAAGGGATAAATACAGTACACATGTGCTAATGCGTCAGGAAATAGCGCGATAAATAATAGATGCAATAAATGGGCAGGACATTCGATAATGAGGGGCTTAATAAGAACGAAAAGAAATAACAGCGTCTATATAAGTAAATGATCGCCGGTGGTTTGGGTACATAAGAGAAGCATCGTTGATTTAGGTACGTGGCGTAAAATAGTATGGTGTGAAACGATTATGCTTGCATCTGATTCAGTTATACTGCGAGGCTATACCGCGAGCCAATCCGACTGATGATTCCAATCCCGTACCAAGGAATGGATGTCAGAGAAAAAATGCAACGACAAAAAAATTTGAGGTTCCTAAGCTCGCTTCAAAGAGGACGAATAAACTAAACATATTACATGGTAAACGCAAGACATTTGTGCAGGTAAATTGCGCTCGAAAAAGACGTTCTGTTACCAATAATAACATGACATAGCAGCTTGTTGTTACCTCAAAAAGAAGGTGTGTTCTTCAGATAGAAAATTTGTTTGGGTCAAGGTGTCAAAACGCTTTGAAAGTGATGCAGTAGAACCCAGAAGATTGAAGGAAAAATAGAATCCAGACTGATTTTCGGGTGATAGTTCGTGATCAAGTGGGATCAAGCTGGCGAGTCCAGTGATCTCTTTAAACTTCAATGTCAAAACAAAATCATCCTTCGCCAGACATCTGGGACCAATTGCGTAACGCACTGGTATCCGATCAGAAAGGTGTTTGACGACTGTAGGATGTTCATCAACCTCAGGAATAGGATGAGGCACCAAATCGGTCAAAGAGATCGCTGTCCCGAAACCTAGATAAGACGGGCATTTGAAAGATTGGACAGGCAATAGATTCTTGTGAAAAAGACTGGATAGGTAAACGAGAAACCACAACAGTGGCGTAAGACTTGTGTAACAAATGACACAGTCGTATGACAATACGGTTAGGTCGGGCTGCGGAGAGAACAGCTGATATTCATCTGAGTGAAGGGATTTAACTTTTAGCACCGGTTGAGGGTCAGCACGTGCGATGGTGTAGTTAATATGAGAATGAGTAGGCGTACAGAGCGTTTCTGTTTTAATTCGAGAGAAGAGATTCACGGAGCTGCTAGGTGGGTTCTTCTTGAGACCGGGAAAAGCTAGTATGTATATGGTATGTCAAGCTAGAGGCCTGTAAACACGTGCATTTCACCCGCATCTGTGGTAAAGCGATACGTGTGTAGAGAGGAATTCTTCTGACTCCCCACAACAGTGAGCAACGCCACGAACAGGTGTGATCAACATAACTAGAAATCGCATTTAAGCCTAGGAAGCTCAATTCAGCTGACCCATTATACTCCTGAAACCGAAGTGTGGTGGACGCAGTCACCAAGAATCGCGTTACCAGAAAAAAACAAAAATTAATAGTGATCTGGAAAATGATGTACAACGCAGACGGAAAGCAAAAAAGGATTAGGAAAAACATAGGGACAAAACCAAGCGTGACTGAGTTGTAACAGCTGGACAGAATAAATCGTGTTCAGGAGCGCCACCAACTGCGCGACCGCGCAATAGCTGATAAAGTCTTCAACCACTGGTGTGTTCGATACCGAGACCTTAATCCAAAAGGACGGAACGCATCAGCCTGAGCAAGTCTTGCGGCCAATTTATTCTTGCGCATATGTCACGTCCTCTACTGGTCACCTTGTGATTTCGTCAGACTAGGTGCAACGGCGGTATATGATGCTGCCGATAAAGACAGTCAACGGAAATTCGGAAAAGATGACCCAACTATCGAGAGGTTGAAGTTTAACAGACACTTCAGCGAAGAACTAAAAGGTTGCTCACCAAACATTAGGTATTCAAGTACTCTCACTAAGGGTAGGCAACACTTCGCAACGCGAACTGACCCGGTTTTTGTTACGTACAGCAACACCGGTCTTACTGCAGAGTAACACATCCTAACTTGAACAGAAACGTTGATGTCCTGCTATCTGTGACTGATGATACTTGAAGTAAGCTCACAACTGATGTGACTAAAGGGAGAGAAACAACTAATAAGTGAACCGATTTATCACTTCCAGGGAGGGCTCGGTGGTGTCAAGAGCCGGTTATCTATCGATTAAGGCAAGCAATAGCGCCTCTAACTGCAGACTTGAGAAGCACATGCCAAAGCGTTTAATATTACACATCGGTCCAATCAGTAGCCCTTGTATGGCCACTAAATCTGACCCAAGGAGAGCAACGCCGTCCGCATGAACGAGAAGTGTCAGCTGATCACCTGTGAGAACTTTCACTTCAGGAAAAGCTGGGAAGGCAGAGTCACTTACGATCAATCCAGTCAAAAAGTTTAATAAGAAATGGGGTGAGAAATAACTGTGGTAAATCCCAACCGTCGTGGGGTACTGCGAAGACAACCTCTAGTAAACACGTAATTGGCATAAGGAGTCTCAGCAGAGACTTCACTCATTCATTGATTATACACGTTAGCTGTGGATGGGGAAAACTCAGCCACTGTGCCGCAAGAGACCAGAAAAACTATAAAGGGACGCAACACAGGCGCAATAATTGAGCCACCAGTAACGGATGGACATTGTTCCAGGGTTAACAGCCGGCTGTTGTGCCGCGAAAAGGCTATATCGTACTTCAGGAATGAGATTGTAGTTGGAGAGCAAGGGACAAAGTAACTCACAACACGAAGGTCCTTGAGGTCGGCTCCTAGCTATGTCAACAACTGTAGTTAGCCAAGCGTGTTTATCGTATTTCGGACTCAACCAGGGAGCCTAGAGGCTCCAACCGTGGCCAACTTCAAAGTGAGGGTCTTCATTCCTATGGACAATGACGTCGATTGGGGTCCCTTCCTCTTTTTCCATCAGCATCCCAGGCGTGCAAACAACGCACATCGCGGTAGTCAGTGTACTGGTGTACGTGACCCAGACATCGGAGATTGTTGCGTGAAATAACGGTGCTGAGCGGTTAACTTCGTCTGCCTACGCCATAAACAAGGCGCCGAAGACACTCATTGCTCATACATTGTTCCTACCAGATATAAGCCAAATTGCGAAGGCACCGGTGGTCGAACGTAACTAGCCACTATTCGTCTACCGATCCAATGGGCCAGGTTTCACAACCGGACAGCAGGGTCGAACATACGGCTGCATTGTAAACTGTACCCTTCAGCGAAAGAATGATGTCGCGCCGGTGCCATAGGTGGCGAAGGTTAACAAAAGCACCTCCAGCTGTTAGCATACGGTTTGTGATCTCGTCTTCCATTCCACAGGCGCTGATACAACTGCTCAGGTAGTCAAATTTTTCAGCGACATCTAGCTGATCACCGTCAATGGTCAGCGCAGGACGTCATCGCTGCCAATCATGCAGAAACACTTTGTACTTTGAGTGCGCAAAGTCAAGCCCGAAACGGCTAACAACCAGTGGTAATCTAGTTAGTGCTGCTTGGCAGATTTGTAAGCTGTCACAGTTCAGGTAATTTCGTCAGTATACTCCAAGTCAAGAGGTTGTTTAACTGGGAGCAGCTCCACACCTTCTAGATGTGTCTAGTGCAAGCGAACTCCATAACTTCGTCAATAGCGAAGTTAAAGAGGTAAGGTGATATCGAGCATCCTTGTCTTACGGCGCTGGAGATATTGAGATGAGCCGACAGCTTGCCGTAAGCCTTCACTCTGCCCGAGCTACGCTCGTAAAGCGATCGGATAATATATTTGCATATTTCTAGGGCACACCATTTCTGCGCACATCGATCCACCGAATCGAAGACACTCTGATGTCGAGTAACACAACGGTGGGCCGCCAATATATGTGATGGTGCTCCAACAACTGATGTATAGTAAAGATGTGATCGATGGATCCCCGGCTTCGACGAAACCCGGATTGCTCCTCACGAATCTGACGTTCACGAGTGTCAGTCAGTCTGCGGAAAACGACAGATGACATCCGTTTGGAGGCGATGGAGATCAGATTGATTCCTCTATGGTTGCCGCATTCCAAACGTGAGTCTCCTTGTAGATCAAACAATAAAGAGCGGCTCCAGTCAGTTGGGATAGTTTTCGGCTCGCACAGTTTCGCAAGTAATTCGTTTAAATCATCCATAAGAGCCGTTCCCTCGAATTTGTAGAGGGCTACAGGAAAATAATCTGGTCCAGCGGCTTTGCACAACTTCAACAGTATGACCTTAAGCTCGACTTCTGAGCGAGAGGGTGGATCCAAAGGGGCAGCCCAGGGATCAGAGCAATCAATTGCGGGCGAGAAATCTGACAATTCCGTCTGATAAAATTATCTTTCAAAATGCTCAGTTCAACGCTCCGAGCGTTTTGACAAATTATAGATTGACAGTCCACTCGTCACATGGATAAGTTCCAGAGACTGCGTAGAGACAAAATGTCCATGTCGGGTATTGGAGTTACGACGTGAGGACTTGAATGTTTCTAATTCGGTCTGGTGAACATGCGACCAGTGGTCTTCAACTGTATTCAGTGAGCGCTTACTCAACCGGAATACCAGCGCACTTCGATTCTCATTCAGATCATCTGGCTTCGCCGGCTGTCAGGTGTATATGCACTCACAGTGTCGTCGCGAACGTAAGCCAAAACGCACCGGCAAATCAGCACAAACAAGTGCACTGTCAGTGTCCACAGATTTGGTCCAGATCAAGCGACAGTTTTGGACGCAGCCTCTCCAGTGATAACTGGTCGCAATGTGATCGATTTGCGTCTATGGCTAGTGGGCGCCATGTCACCTTCCGGTGTGTGCTATGGCGGGTTAGCGCTCGAAAGAAACATCTTCCCACATATCAAGTAACCGCCCATAGTTATAGTTACCGGATCCTACACCCTGTTGGTCACCCAGATGTGGAGCACAAGTTTCCGAATTGAGCATTCAGATCCCCAGCCAGCACTACACTGTCCAAGCTTTTTCTGTGACGAAGGAGCTCGTTCAATCGGCGATAGAAGTTGTCTTTTACCGAATCATCACTACAGTTTTTGGGGGTGTAGGCATCTATGACAAACAGGCACCTATTAGCACCATGCGACAAGCTATCCAGTCGGACCGCAGTTATCCGGCTGCTGATTAGGATCCAATCAAGCAGAGCAGCTTCAGCCCGAGGAATCAGTGAAATAACCACACGGACTTGACCAACGCTCGAAGATGCATCGCCTCCGGATAGACGCAGTTAGAAAGCCCTGCTGGCATCATCTGAAGTGGGATCGTAAAGCGAACACAGTGCTCGAGTCTTGCAGGCAGGTTTCCGATAAGCAGCATATATATATATATATATATATATATATATATATATATATATCGAGAGAATCACTAATGTTCAGGCAAGTGATGCCTGTTGACCGATCTGTAATAACGTGCGCACGCTGAGACATGCCAACCTGAGGGCTCTAAACAGAAGGCGATGAACAAGGCTTATCCACTTGGTTGGACCTGGGCTCGGCGACATAGCAGTAGTGAGGCTCCGCGTTTGCGTGTGTGTTGAAACTAGAAGATAGACGCCTGTGAAAGCCAGATGAGGGAGGGCCAAGGATTGAGGGGTTGAAACGGGAGGATAAATGTGAAGTTGGCACGGGATGATGAGGGTAAAAAATTGTAAAATAGGGGATAAGAAGACGGGGAGACATGAGCGGTAGCATCTAGACGCTTACTTGCCCCGCTCGATGCAACTGATACAGCGCCGTTGATTATCCTCTGCGACAGCCAGAGCGTAGACAAGATAGTGTCAGGTTGCCCAGGCCTTGACAGGAAAAGGATTAGGGTTCTCAACCAAGGCCTTTGGTTCAAAATATGACAGCAAGGCAGTGGGGTTTTGGCA